AGAGGGTGGGAAGCATCAGTAATGGGCACTTCTATTGAACCTTCAAATCCTGCTCCCAATGACACACCTCCTTCAATAAAGCAACTCCTATTCATTTGTTCCTTATATTCTCAGATCTACTACAAAGTGACATTAGGAGTGACAATTAAATAGATATGTCACTATAATTTGAATTATATTTAACATTCTCATTTTTCTCCCTACTTCTCCTTTTCTTTTGAGCAATGGTCTCAGTGAGCAGCCTGACCTCTGAGCTCCTCCTCCCTCAACCTCCCCTGTGCTGGAATCATGGACTTTTGCTGTTACTGTTTTAGTTTGGTCTTTGCACTTCTAGGGATGGAATATCCTTGTGGATTTTAGGCTAGTGTTCCATCCCTGGGCTACACCCCTAGCACAAACTTCACATCTTGAGGAGATCATGAGCCTTCTCTGTTGTTCTTGCTATGGACACAATTAATGTCACGAAATGTTATGATGTACCTATCCTTCTGAATTGTTAATAATTATGTAAAAACCTTTTAAGGTTTTTTTTTGGGGGGGGGAGTTGTTTTTGAGGCAGAGTTCAACTCTATATTCAGACTGGACTGGAACTCATTAAGTGTTTAGGATGGATTCCAATTTCTGGCAACACCCTTACCTCAAACCCCTGAGTACAGGGGTCACAGGAATGAGGAAGTAGGTCCTTATCTCTAACAAATTTTAACCAAGGCCTTCTCTGCTCTCTACATCAAACTTTCTTGTGTTTTGTTTTGGTTTGGTTTTTCAAGACAGGGTTTCTTGTTTTGTTTTTTGGGTTTTTTTGTTTGTTTGTTTGTTTGTTTTTTGTTTTTGGAGACAGGGTTTCTCTGTGTAGCTTTGTGCCTTTCCTGGAACTCGCTTGGAGACCAGGCTGGCCCCGAACTCACAGAGATCCGCCTGCCTCTGCCTCCCGAGTGCTGGGATTAAAGGTGTGCGCCACCACTGCCTGGCTCATTCTTGTGTTCTTGATGAGTCTGTCTGTACCACCATGCTCTAACTACATTAACTACTTTGCCAAACAGTTCTCTGAATGTGGAGGAATGTCACTAGACTGATCTTCAAGCAAATCATTTCAGGGCTGTGGAAGAAACACAAAGACTGGAGAAGAAATTGTTTTTCCCATGATTCTGTACTATACTTAGAATGGGAATCCTGCCAACATGCTGAACCCAGTGACAATTTGTGCATGATGGGAAGAGCATGGTGATTCCAGTTTCCTGCTGGTCTTTTGTTTTTTATCTTGACTAGTTTATCTCACTATAATTCTAATAATGGCTTTCATGTCAAATGTCTGTTCAAAATTCAGAATCAATTCAGAAAGTCAAGAGAGGGGAAGAATAAGAAGATAAATATGTGATTGGTGGAAGGAAGGTCTAGTAAAGTAAGGCAAGAAGTATTGAACAATAAGTCTTAGAGTTCATCCATGCCAGGAGGTGGTAGCACATGCCTTTAATCCCAGTACTCAGGAGGCAGAGGCAGGTGGATCTCTGTGAGTTCCAGTCCAGCCTGGTCTACAGAGTGAATTCCAGGAAAGGTGCCAAAGCTACACAGAAAAACCTTGTCAAAAAAAATAAGAAGAAAGAGAGAGAGAGAGAGAGAGAGAGAGAAAGAACCAAAAAAAAATCATCCACTGTGAACATCATGGTTGACACTTGAATCCCATTCTGGGCTCTACAGGGACACACTCTCTGATTGAACCCCTCACTTGCCAGTGCAAGTCAATAAATTATATACATTCAAGCAAAAGTATATACCCCCAGTAACCCATGTATTTACAGGGCCCCTCACACCTATAAGATTAATCAGCTTTAAATATATATAGAAAAAGAGTGGGCTGAACATGGCCAGCAGACTGAGGTGGGCCATGAGAGGAGAACGAGGCAGTGGTGCGGGGAGAGCAAGAGAGTCTGAGAAGACAGAGAGAGAGGAGAAGAGAGGGCAAGGGGACCAAGAGAGCACATGGCTGACATGTCAGGATTATGCAGAAAAGAGAGCTGGGGGAAGGGAAGGGAAGCCCCTGGACTGGAGTGGTGGAGGGTAGAGGGTGGGATATGCCAGGCAGGATGACTCTGCAGCAGGTACTTTCTGAGAGCGCCCAGAGGCTAGCATGCACTTTGGTGTGCTGATAGGCACAGCAGTCATCTATATATGAAAGAGACACATGTCCTTTTTGCCTGAGATAGGAGAATGACTCATTTTAGCAAGTAGGAACTATCTTCAAGTCCCTGAGGGAATGTAGGCTGTTGTCTAAATGCTAGACTCTGAGAAAAGGATTTCTCAGGACCTGACCCTCACCTCATCCCTTTGTTTCAGCCAACAACAACAGAGGCACCCTTGTCCTGGGAACATGCTGGCCATGCTGGACTGGGAATCAGGTAGGCCATCTTCACTCTCCTTCCTGTCCCTCAGTTCCCATTCCTCAGTCTTAACTACCTGCTGGCCACTCCTTCCCTTTCTGCCCTCATTTCCCAGGGACTCCCCATACCCTCCAAGGCCCAGCCTTCCTCACTCTATCATTTTGTGTCAGCCGCCAATACTCAGAGTCCCTCTCTATCTGGGAACCAGCTGGCCAAATAGACTGAGAATCAGGTAAACAGTCTTCATTCTTCTTCCTGCTCTCCATTTCCGTTTCCCCAGTCTCATCCCAGGCCTAGACCAAGTGCATGCCACTTGTCATTCCCTGGAGACTCAGAAGATCCTTGTGGCAAACCCAGCTTTCCTCCCTCCAGTAGACCCTCTCAGCTCTCCCTATCCCCACCCCCACCTCCCTCTCTCACTCCAACCTCTAGTCCATCCCCATTCCTTCCAGCCAGCTCCCAGTACCTAGAAACAAGCTCTAACTGGGACCCCTAGTGGCCACTCCTGGCAGAGAATAAGAAGCACTCCCTACCAGGCAACCCCCACCCACCACACTCTCCTAAGATCCAGAGAGGACAACAGAAACCAAGAAACAAAACACCCACCCAACAAAGACAAGACCCTGTATCAGCACCTAGAATTACAACCATCCCAAACCCAGATACCTAGACACCAGCATAGAAACACAATCAATCTCTCCTGGCACCCAGCAACCCTATTGCAGTAGGTCTTCAGTAATGCAATATAGCTGAAGCACAAGACGAGGACTTCACATTGCTGTTATGAATATGACCAAGGACCTTACATGGAGGCAAAAGCATCTGAATATATAACAGCAAAAAATAAAATAAAAAGAATTTTGAATAGTGAGCATGCTACCACTTCTCAAACTGTGGTAGACTATTTTTTTAAGATGTGTTACTTTTGTTTATGCTCTGGAACATTTGTTTAGTGATGCAAAGATGTGTTACATTTGTTTGATTAGATAAAATTAACTTTCAGTCAGGAGGCTGAGTCAGCAACCAGCCGATAGGAAGTGGTAGGGAGGAACCTCGTAGAAAAGGGCTTTTTAAGTGGGAGTTGGGAGAAGGAGGCCCAGCTTTTTGGGGAATTAAAACAACCATCTAGCTCTTCATGAACTTTCTCTGCAGACATCATTCCATCCCATCTCTGTGCAAAGATTTGACTTTGTACTCAGGTTTGCCATGAGACTCCAAACTCAGTGACAAGAATAAAGGTGACCAGGAGAGCACAGCTCTGGTCACACTGTTGTTGAGCAGTGTCACAAAGGTGGGTCATTCTAATGTGTACTGTACATATAGACATTTATTTCACACAGAGGTAAGGCTATGTATGTCTGTGTGAGGGTGCCAGATCTTGAGTTACAGACAGTTAACTGCCATGTGGGTGCTAGAAATTGAACTGTGTCTTCTGGAAGAGCAGTCAGTGCTCATAACTGATAGGCCCCAGTTATTCTAATTCTTTTTTTTTTTTTAAGATTTATTTATTTTGGGGCTGGAGAGATGGCTCAGAGGTTAAGAGTACCGACTGCTCTTCCAGAGGTCCTGAGTTCAATTCCCAGCACCCACATGGTGGCTCACAACCATCTTTAATGAGATTTGGCACCCTCTTCTGTATACATAATAAATAAATCTTTCAAAAAAAAAAGATTTATTTATTTTGTATATAGTGTTCTGTCTGCATGTATCCCTGTCCACCAGAAGAGGGCACCAGATCTTACTATAGATGGTTGTAAACCACCATGTGTTGCTGGGATTTGAACTCAGGACCTCTGGAAGAGCAGCCAGTGCTCTTAAACTGAGCCATCTCTCCAGCCGTATTCTAATTCTTAAAACAAAACATGGCGATGTTTCTGAGTGGGCTGATGCATACTCTGCCAGCATGTATTGCTAGAATCTCTAATCTACCTGCTGCCTTGTAAGTGTCACAGACAGAGACAAGATGGAACTCTACTCAAAAGAAGTCCCCAGTAGCTGCCTTGCAGGTGCCATACTAACCTAAGTGAGTTTTCATGAGATAGTGCCCTGTCCTGAGTCACGTGTCTGGAAATCTGAGAGCCTGGCTGCAGGCTCCTGCTGTGAACCTCAAACCCCATCCTACAGTATAAGAAGAGTCCTGTTCTTCTGCCACAGCGACCCTGATGCTCTGGACATCCCTCCATTCAGGCTTCCCTGGTGCTGGGGCCTGAACTCTCCTGGGAACCCCAATCATGGTACACTCTCTGTCTCTCTATTTATGGCAATCCAACTCGAAATAAATTCTTTATTGCCCAGTAATCCCTCACAATGTCCCCTTGAACCAACTACCTCATCCCAAACCTGGCACATTCCTCTTTAAAAGCAAAACAAAACAGAGCAGGGTCTTCCTCTGTCACTATTCTGGCCTCAGATGCACAGCAGCAGCCTTCCTGTCTCTGCCTCCTGAGTGCTGAGATTGTATCAACACCATCATGCCAGGCTCTGGACTCAATCTCAACAATCCTTTATTACAGTCACAGGGAGAAGGAGACAACACAGACACCATGGTGGATGCCACTCACATACCATAAGTTCCTGGAAACGTTCTATTGTGTACATACATACACCATACAGCACAAGGTAAGTTTACTGCTATCATTGTCATCACTATCATTCAGTGTAAGAGGGAAAACCATAGGATTTAACATACTTGATAAGAACTAAATAGTACCACAACACTTACTCTCTCAAAAACAAATTGGAAAACTTGTTATCTGTCCCCTGACCTCAAGACTCCATAGTGCATGGGCAGTCTTAGGACCCAGGGAAGAACTTAGGCTAGGTTGTAGGATGGCTTTATGTATGAGCAAAGAACAGCTAGGAAGTGTGCATACAAGGCAGCCTGTTTATTGGGCTAACAGGATAGTTAACATGTAGCTTAGAGCCAAAGAATAAACAAAATACACCTAATTTGCATACAGAGGAGGAATTGTTCACTTAATTTGCATTCACCAGTTGGATTGAGGGCAAGCAGGGGTTAGCAGTTCAAATACCAAAGAGTCCCCCCTCATTCAGGGGAAGTGCTGGGAGGGAACAGGAATGTGGCAGCAGCAGAGGTGGCAGGTCCCTTAGTCTATCAGCTGGCAGGCAGCCAAGAAAATAACATGTTGGCACAAACTTTCTGTCAGGGAGGAAAAGAATTGCTGACTTTAAAAATGATATGACCTCATGTCTCTATGAAGGGGATCCAGGTTTTTCCACCTGAGTTAGGAATGCCAGCTGGACTCCTACTGTAAATCCCTGAGAGATTTTGGGGTACAGGCACGCTCCACGGACCTGTTGGAATTGGAATTTCACAAAAACCAAAAAAATTTTTTTTTAACTTTCTTTGATATTCTATTCTGAATTCATTTACTTTTAGCATCTTATATTACTATACAATGGAAAACAGTTCTTTTCTGCAAAAAAACATGTTTATAGATATGTACATAATATTAGAGTAGATTTGATGGCAGTTCCCAGAACCTAACGGCAAGACATAAGGAAAGTCAAACATTAGTCATCCCCTGAGCCCTGCCCAGTGGGCCACTGTAGCATGGAAACCCAGTAGAGCACCTCTTCCTCCCATATTAACATAACAACCATTTACTGAGTGTGAAGTGGATGCTTTATTTTTAGTGAATTTATTCTCTATTTAAAACTTACATCATTCATGTTGCATCAGTGTGTACTGCAGCATGTGTGTGGAGGTAGAAGACAATCTGGAGGATTGGCTGCCTCCTTCTCCCAGGTGGATTGGAGTGATTGAACTGTCCTCAGGATTGCTTTTACTCTCAGTCTTCTAACAGACCACACATTTATTTTCTTACACTAACCTACAGTGTAGGTGTACTATTTGTATCGAAAGTGTAAACAAAAAATAAAATAAAGATACGCCTTTGAGGATGTTAGTGAGGGTTACAGTGCTGTGTGGAGTGGCAGGAATAGAACCTGGTACTCTGAACACGCAGTCTTAGTGGGTACCATTGCAGATGTTTCCTTCTTAAGTTTGGATGAAGCACATTGTGGTTAACCCGACATACCACTAAGGGCTCATTCCTAGGCTAGAGACTCCTGCATATAATTTTCAAAACTAGTAGACAAGCTGGAGAAGAACTTTCTTTCATCCGTTGTCGGGGCAGAAGGAGTGGGCTTGTGCAGACATGGCAGAGCTGGGACGAGTGGCTCAGTGGTAGAGCACCTCCTCAGCATGCACAAGGCCCTGCCTTCCCTCTGTGGCACCACAAAACAGGAAGTGGGGTTAGCAGAGGCTTCACCTCACCTAATGAGGAAAGAGTCACTTTCTTTGGGAATATGGGAAATGATGAATTATTGCCTTGTAACCAGACAAGCAACTGGATCAAGGAAAAGAATCCATGCTGGTTTGTATTGAGACCTGAAGTTTATTAAAAGGAAAGAGCAAAGGCAGAAACAGTTATAATGATGCCAGGGAGCTCAGGCATATGAGATACATCAGACATGGGGCACTGTGCAGTTATGGGTGAGGGTTTAGGAGGGTGGCCCACATACTGTCATTGGCTCTGAAGATCCCATAGGATTAAAGTATGGATAAACTTCATCGGGGAAGGAAGGTTCATAGAATCTATAGATGAGAACTCCATGGTTGGAAACATCATAAAATGAGAGAGTACAAGCTTCTCTGTCCAGGAAAACTCCAACACGACGGGGACGGCCAGTCAGAGAGAGGACCAGGACACTGGCATTGTGGGTGACAGAACACTCTGCAAAGGCATTATATACAGACCCATTCTTCATCCCTATAACCCAGTAGCCATGTTTAGGCTGATAATTTACATGCTGTTTCACATCAGAATCATCTTTAACTTTATATTTAGGCTGATAGTCATATTGTCCGTAATCAAAATCATAATCATATTCAGAGCCATATTTAGACTGAAAATTTACGTATTGTTTATAATCAGGATTGTATTTGACCTTGATGCCCTTCTCATTCGGTGCAGGAAGTTGGGGTTGAGCACATTTTCCATCATTTAATCCCAGGAGCCAGGAATCACTTCTAGACACATCCACTTCCCAGTAATGTTTCCCTGAGTGGAAAGCTGGGTATCCCAGGACACCCATCTTATAGGTCTTAGAAGTCTGTGAATTTTTTCTGTTAACATTTCGATATTGTATTTCTCTTTTGTCCTCATCAATGGAAATGTTTTTATTGTGGCCTTGAATCAGGTTCACATGAACTGCAGAAAAAGGAGACATATTAGAGTCATCAGAGAGGCAGGGCACAGCAGAGCAGAAGCCTTAGGAGACAGTGAGAGGGGAGAAGCCTTGCTTATAGTCAAGGAGAGGCAGATTGGGAGAAGTAACATGACACATGAGGGTTAGTAGAGAAACTCTGAAAGACATTAAGAAGGGAATGGCTGATGGTGTGATTTCTCCTTACCCCAGTATTGTTGAGCATCCATGAGCCCTGAAAGGATGAAAATTCACATCATTAAATCCATGCAAAGGATTAGAACATTAATGTCAGTCCTCTGCAGATTAGGGGAAGGTATAGAAATTGTGATATAGGATGGAATGAATGATGATTTCCCATGAAATATGACGACTTTACTGGGGAATAGTATCTGCTCTTCTGAGGCCCTCTACCCATGTTCAGAAATATCACTCTCTTCTCAGAGAATGTAGCCCCAGCCACACCTAGAATCTGACAGTTACCCACAGAATGCAGCTGTTCTCACCTTGAAACACTTGCAGCATGCCATTCAGATCTGGAGCTCGGAAGATCATTCTCTGTTTTCTCGGGACCATATCAGGCCGTTTCAGTCTTAAGGTCTGACTCCTGGGGACAAAACATTGACCTCCACATCTCAGACAGAGTGACCTCTGACCACCACTGACTCCCTATCATTCTAACAATAGACGTCCTGGAGCTCTCCTGAGAATTCTGAGAGGGGGAGAGATGGTTGACTACTAACTCTGGAGACATGAGAGACACCCTCATGAGCCCTCCCACTTACTTGCTGTGTGATGTTAGGAAAGCCTTACTCCTCACAAGCAGAGATCCTCCTCACTTGTACAGTCAAACAACTTGCTCGCCTACTCTCCCCTCTCCCCCACTCATCCCCTCCCAGAAATATGAAGAAATGATGAGTTAGTAAATTTTGAAACAACCTAAACTGAGGTTTTTAAAAAAATAACGTGTGGGCTAGGCATGGTGCCACATGCCTTTAATTCCTTCAGGTAGGAGGCAGAGTCACGAGGATCTCTGAGATCAAGATCAGCCTGGTCTACAGAGAGAGTTCCAGGACAACCAATGCTACACAGAGTAATACTGTTTCAAAAACAAAAACAAAACAAAAAAACAAAAAAAAAATCAAACAAAACAAAAAAGAAGAAAAGAGAAATAAAGAAAGGAGGAAAAAAGATGTTGGTGTTCAAGGAAATGTTCTAAATCCTGGAGTGCAGACACCGCTCCTGGGTATAGAATGTGGGAAAGCCACAGGAGAAAGCCAAGAGTTCAAACCCTGTTGTCATTATGGACGGACACTTTTGGCTGGCATCTGATTCTTCTGGTTCTTTTGTTACAATGATAAAATTTGGCAAAGAAGATAGAAACACGAAATTAATAATAACATGAGCCCCATATGTTCAGAATGAGTCTGATGCTGACAGCCTGGGTGTGACCCTTTACATAGGAGGGCACAGCTTGTCAGTCTTCTGATGAGATACATAAATACACAGGAAGTTCCCCCAATATACAAGTCTGTGAACATTGAGGACACAGAAGACATGCCCTACCTACGATGAATTGAGGAATCAAGTACTTGTTAATGCAGGTCCAGAGCCAGACACACGCACACAGTATGGACAGAATGACGGAACCACAAGGAGTCTGAAAGCACCTTAGCTCCTTGTGCCTCATCCCACTGCTGAGCCTGACTCTGCAACTCCCCATCACCCACTCCCTAAAAGACAATCAAATCTGTTCTCAACTGTTCACAACAGTCAGATCCTGACTTTCCCCACAACCCTTCCTCCATTTTACCGGAAGTTCATAATAGTATTATATTTAAATTCCCCCCAAACACATGAAATATTCATTCTAGTTGAATACTAAATCATTTTCAATATCCAACAGTGCTATTCTTCCCCTTTAGCCCAGACATACCTTGTTAGGACAGAATTCACACCCTGGGGAGAAGGGAGAAAACACAGTGAATAACATGTTCTGAGTGTGCTTGCAAATCCTACTCATACTCTCACTGGCTGCAGAGACAAAGTCAAAAGAGAATCAAATCTGTCACCCACAGATCTCCAAGACATGATATAAATATGATGCATGGCTCTTTACTTGACTCACATGTATCATTTACTTGACTTAATAGACTATTTCCTGTCTCATACCACAAGGCTTTGGAGAAAAAAAAATGAATAAACAATAGTTTGAAAGCTTAAGTAGGTTTTGCTGTGCTTACAACTAAATACATGACTCTTTTGGTGCTGCCTGTAAGCTATCAATTATAGTACCTGCAACTAACATTGTGAGAAGCTGATTTCTAAATTATTTTAGTCATTTAGACACAATTTAACATATTAGAAATGAAGAAGCAACAAGGACCAGAAGCTTAGATTGTCTGATACTTAAAACCAACTAACCATATCTGTCTGTCTCTTTTCCTCTCTCTGTAACTGTGCTGGCAGGAGAGAAGTGAATCTGTGTCTCTCAATTTGACAAACTGTTGAAACACTGACCTGAAAGCAATGGAATTTCTCCAGGAATCTCACACTGGGGAAGGAAAACAGCTCTGGCCACAGGCCTAGTGGTCTAAAAAGATTTCAAGTAGTTTTAGTTACTTGTCAGACCACCTTAAAGTACGAGAATGTAACCCAGATAATGAATGATAGGAGAATGATGGACAGGACCACACCTTGACCTGTACTACTCACATGCGTATATCCTTGACTCTCAGTTTAAACTTTGAACTCACTTAGGGAAACTGAAGATGGACAGAGGGGGTTTTTTAATCTCTTTGTCCATCTTCAAAATATAGCCGCATTAATAAATATCCTTTTCCTGATTTCCAATATTAATTTTGTTCTTTTATATGGGACACATATCAAGATTTGACCCACCAGGTCCACTTTGATATGTTAAGTAGGCATCTCGGTTACCCATTTGTCCTGGGACTGAGACCGAAAACTATGCAAGTATTCTTGCATGTTTGGGTTCCAACAGATACTGGTAGATTTACCTAAAGTTACATTCTTTGAGAAATATGACCCCCTTTCTCCTAACAGCTAACAATTGTCAGGAGCTCCTTGGATGTGGTTGAACTTCCTATGAAAGTCCACTTTCCATAGTGGAATGTGGTGTGGTTTATTTAGGCTTGCACAGATCTTGGGTTCGATGTCACAGCCAACTGAAGTTCACCTGTGCTGCTGCTAAGCTACGTCCAGAAGACACTGCTCTCCTTGTACTCATCCACCAGCTCTGGCTCTTACACTCTTTCTGTCCTTCTTCTGCAATGATCCCTGGGCCTTTAAATTAGAGGTGCAGTATATATATTCCACTTAAGGCTGGACAGTCTGTGGTCTCATACTCACACTGCTCTCAAACTCATTGACCTGGATGGCCTTGAACCCATGTAGCTTCATTTGTTTCTGCATACTAGCTGCTGGGATTAATGGAGTGAGCCAGCACACCTGGCTCTAGGTTGGGAAGCTTATATTTCATTTTCAATATTCTGTGCTTCTCATGTTTTTGTTTCTGTGTATGAGAAGCTCTCAAGTCCTAGGATCACAGGCAGTACATGCTTGGCTTCATATGGCTTTATTTTATACAACACAAATCAACAAAATTAGATCCATGGTAAAAATAATTCTGGGAGAGAACTAATTCTAATTATACATGAATTCTGATGTTCAAACATAGAGACATCTGCATGCTCATGTCCACTGAGTCATTATCAGAGTAGATAAAATAGTCATTCAGAGAACTAACCACCAAGTGAATGGATAAAAATGATATAATAAGTATATGTGTTAAAATATTAGACATTCAAAACAAGAAGTATTGCCATTTGTGGTAACGTGGCTGAACTCAGAGAATTTATGTTATACTCAACCAGCTGGGCACAGGAAAATACAACACTAAATGATATTTAAATATGTGTCATGTACACAAATTGATATCACAAAAGTAAGGATTAGAATTTGGGTCATCAGGGGCTGGAGGCAGAGAAAGGTGAGCAGATTCTTTGATCAAGAGATACAATTTCAGACTTGTAGAGAATGTTGGTTGTAGTTAGTATCTATTCGAAGTAACTTAGTTTAGCCATATATGTATGATTCCATCTAACACAGGTGATAAATGAGTGTTCTCAATAATAATTAAATCAACACAACGGAAACCAATAAATCAAAGGAGTATGAAAAGTTCCTAGGACTACCAAGTTCTAGAACACTGACAATTGAGATGAAAAAAACAAATTCCTATAGAGATATTCATCACCAAAATAAGACTTTGGTTTAAATTATTTAAAAATGTGATAGAGACAAAATACAGTACAAACTTTATACCTATAAGAATAAAAGAAGATACCTTTTATCTCAGCAACTTCTGGACAGAGGAAGGAAAACCTCTCTGAGATCTTGAATGATTAATTATATGAGTCCTAAAATTTGCCAGAAAAAGTAGTTCCACCATTTTGGCTGAATTTAAGCAAGCTTTGATTAAAAATATTAAATAGTGACCAAAATGAAATGTGGAAAGGTCCATCACCTGGAAAACTTTCCAAGTAAGTGACTGGTGACATTTGTTGGCAGAGCTTACAAGGGGAAAACCCACAGGTCACCATATTTTCCCATGAGGCTTTGCTGTTAGTTTCCAAGAACTCCCACTCCCAGAATTCCAGAAAGTTACCTTGTCCTTGGGATTATAGGTTAATTTTGGGTTTAACAACAGCCACCCTCAACGACCCCCCACCATTTCTCTCTCAGAAATCAGAGCCAGTGAGATTAAAAGTTTCAAATCATTCCAGGAAAGAAACAATCTCTATTAATTTCAAATTCAGGTGAAGTGACTAACTTTACAGGTGAAAATGTGCTTCACACATGCTGAACACCACAGCAGGGTAACAACTACCCATGATGCAACTGATCTTCTCTCCAAGGTTCAGCTTTTATACTATACTTGATAAAAAATGCAATTTCCCCTTGCTATCCATGCACACAATGATTTCCCAGGCTCTGAAACTGATTTAGGACAGAGTTCAGGGAGGGCCCAGAGAGCCCTACTGTCTCCACCAGGAAGGTCACAGCAGCTCAGAGGGAGGGAAATGGCTTCCAGGTCCTGACTGTCAGATGCTGGGACCTCCTGCAGTCTTACCTGCAGCATTTCCATGGTTGAGCACTGCAACTGATGCTCCACATCTGAGATGAGGTCTCTCACTGACTTTGTCTGCTTCACCAACTCACTTTGAGACTCTGCCAGGCTGTTCATAATGTCTTCCTCCTCCTGCTTCAGCTTCTGCAGCTCATTCTTCTCCTTGGAGTCCAGGAATTCCCGAAGTCCTTTAAACTCCATCTGAACTTTTTCTACATCACCCTGTATTTGGTTCTTCAGGGATAAGAAGAGGGAGAGGAATTCAGACTATGCTAATGGGACTGGAAGACAGAAAAACACAATTCTGATGGGGAGTTCTCACAGGGAAGTGAGCTTGGGAAGGGAAGGGAGTCTTAGGAAGCATGTGTCTCCTCTCAGTGTCTGTTGATGACATTCCAAAACAGAGATCTTAGGTCACCTTTACCAAGGCCATTTGATCCAAAGTGGAATGCTTTAGTGTGAATCAGTTTTCACACAGCTGCCTCAGACTCCTGTTCCTGCCTGTAAATCTCCTCATTCTACCTCTGAACCCATGAGAGAAGCTAAACCCCAAGAATAGAACTGTGCCTGTTCCCAAGCATCTTCCCCAACAGTCACAGCTGCAGATAGCACCACAGGAGTGAGATCTAGGACTGAGTGCCCACTCTCACCAGACCCCCTCCATGGTGTCAGCTCCCCACATAGCCAGGCTCAGTTGTGATGTACTCAGTGTGCAGCCCCAGCTCCAAGGAACAGGTAGAGAGGACTAATCAAGGCCTCTTGTCCTCATCAACTACCTGGGAATAGAGAGCCAGGGAGCTTCTTGTCCAGGTCCCTCCCAGGCATCAGCCTAACTCCCTTAGGAGCTAGGGTCCTCACTTGCCTCCCAGAAAGTTCTCTCCTGTTGAAGGTCATCTTCCCATTCATCACATCTTTTCTCATTTGTCATCTGTTCCTGCAGAGCTGCCTGGAGCTTCCCCTGTGGGAGAGGAATTGTAGCAGAGTCAAGATGTGTGCTTAGTAGGACTGTTGTTTCTAACAGAATACCAAGAAACCCCTCTGGAAAGACAGGAAACCTAAGACTGTTCCCTTTTATAAAAGTTGTGCTATGATTTATGTACATAAAGTATGTAAGTCTTCAGTCTCCAGCTCAATCCATTCTCCTATTTATATACACAGAATCACCATACAGACAAAGAATAGAAATCTCCCTTATTGAATTAACCCAAGTACAAACCTGTCACTTTGATTCTGGCATCAAAAAACTGGGATAATTGTGTTAGCCTTTCTGATTTTTCATATAAACATACACATACATCACATGCTCCTGTAATGTCCTATTAGACATCTGCTTTTTTAAAAAAAATGTTGTCTTTCTATATAGCCGAGCTGGCCTGGACTTCCCATGTAGACCATTATACCCTCAAACTCCTGCCTCAGCCCCAGAATTCTGTGATTGAGTCATGATCACCACACTGTCCACATGCACATTCTTTTCTCTCCTATTTCCTTTTCTATTTAATTTTAAATTTCATGTGCATTGGTGTTTTGTCTGTATATCTGTGTGAAGGTGTAGGATCCTCAGGAACTGGAGAAATAGACAGATGAGGAGCCATGTGCATGCTGGGAATCGAACCTCTGTCCTCTGCAAGAAAGCCAGTGCTCTTAATCACTCAGCCATCTCTCTAGTTTTCTTTTCTTTTTTAAAATTGTATATTTTTTTAGTTAAGATTTTTTTTCCTTCACTGAAAATAGATTTTTTTTCATACAATATATTGTGATTACAGATTCCCCTGTCCCGACACCTCTCAGCTCCTCTCCACCTCCCCTCCTATCAGATCTACGCCCTTTTTGTCTCCTGTTACAAAACAAAGAGGCACCTAAGGAATAGTAGCATAATAAAAGAAAACACAGTAAGAGAAATAAAAAACAAATCCATTGGAATATGACAAAACAAACAAACCAGAAAAAGAGATAAATAAAAAGCACAAGGAATGCATATAGATGTAGAGACACACAGTTTCCAACACACGGGAATCTCATTAAAACCCTAAGCCTTAATATACATGCAAAGGACTGGTAAAGCAGGGGGAAAAAAGCCCAGATTTATTGTTATGAGAGAAAGAACCTCCAAATATGGGTTCAGTTCATTGTATGTTGGTCATCCATCTACTGCTGGCCATGGGACCTGTCCCTACAAGTAAATGAATTATTTCTCCAATGAGACTCCCTTGAAGAAAACTCAATTTCATTTATAAGTAGCTATCATTTGGAGATTGCTTTTGGGTTAGGGGTGGCAGCAATTATCTACATTTCCCTCCAGCTCTAGGATCCCATCTGGTGCAGACCCTTGCAGGTTCTGTGCATGATGCAACAGTCTATGTGAGTTCGTATGTGGGCTCAAAAACAAACAACAGAACACAAAGACCCAACACAGAGCTTGCCTCTGTGTATCTCATTATGGAGTTCTTTCCCCTCTTCCCAGCTGTTTCAACTGCCACATGCACATTCTCTTTGCGGCTGTCTGTCATTCATTTACTGACTCCATTCCTGATATCACTAGACTGGATTTTAGGTAGATGAATGAATCTGACATAAACATTGAAAGAAGATAAATATGGAATAGATTAGCAGCTCTGCTCTTGGCTTTTCTTGGTCATTGACTCAACTTCACAGGGACAGTTCCAAGACATTTTTTTAATATCTTACTATTTGTAGTCCAGGCACATTCTCATATGAGTAAGTGGAATAAATCATCATGTGTTTTTAGGACTCTGAAGGTAGGAAAGGATGGACTGGAATATCAAACCTCCAGTCAATGATGTCCAGGTTATTGACCTGTCACCCCAAGTGGAGATTTCCCATCAGTTACTGTCTCCTGCTCTGTCTCCCACAGCCTCCCACTTCTTACCTTGTACTCTTCGGCCACCTCTTCAATAAGAGCTGTTTGGTGACCACGGTGCTCCTGAGATCGCTCACAAAGCCAGCAGATGGCCACCATGTCCTTCTCACAGAAGAGCTGGAGTTTCTCTCCATGTTGTGCACAGACATTCACCTTCTGCTCCTCCTCCGGGCTGGACTTGATCCCTGTTAGCCTCTCCACTATGTTGGCCAGTTGTCGATTAGGCCTCAGATTCCCAAACAGGTAACTCACTCGGCACACAGGGCAGATGCCCTCCCCTTCTTTGCCTTTGCTGGACTCATAGTTCAGTGTGATGCAGGCTCTGCAGAAGCTGTGACCACAATCGGCATTTACAGGTTCCTTCAGGAGCTCCAGGCAGATGGGACAGGTCACCTCCTCCTTGATCATGCCCAGGACTGATGAGGCCATTGTTGCTGTGATCCTCTGTCTGTCTGTCCTGACTCCTGACACTTCTTCTCAGGTACCTGTGTGATTGGGATGATGAAAAGGGAGACAAGTAAGAAAGGGAAAATCAGCATGGACACTGTGCAGACATCAACAGTGACCTCCATGATAAGGGAAAAGAACACAGGAGAGAAATAGAGACAGAAGTTGAGCGACATGGCTAAAGGAGCATTATGTCATACTTTCAAGGCCTCTACTCTAATTTCATCCCAAGTGACAAATTTCAGAGGCAGGGTTGTTATTTCCTTTTACTGAAGAGCAGAAAGTGTTTCCTTCCAGCAGCCTGTGTAACCTACATTCTATCCATCCCTTTCTTTCCCAGGACCAAATCACATCTTCATGTTAAAAGCATTGAACTTCTCACGTCTCTGGCAGCTGTACTTGCTCCTTTATCAGCAGTAGTCAGTGTGACCCTCTCTGATCCTCTCCTTACAAGTCTCTTATTAGAACGCCTAGTTCTGACCTGGAGTGTACACGGGTCACAGGTACACATGAGTATACCTGATTCACATAGGCAAGGATTTCTCTTATTGCCACTTAGTAAATGACAATGTATGTGTTTGTGCACACGGTTAAGTGAAGCCCTGCACTAGATGTATAGAGACGGCCACTTACAAGGTTGATTTTTCTTTAACACATTGAAAGAGCATAGAAACCATCCCTTTAGAACCTCCTTTCAGAGGTTCCTGCTCTACCCCTTGAGTTCACCGAAGAAAAAAGGGGTGACAGCCAGGATAGAATTGTAGCCAGAACAATGGATGTGTGGAATTATGCTGCCAACCACTGTGGGTTCTGAGGAATCTTGTGTCTGTAAATGTTGAGAGTTTATCTTGGTCTAGAAATTTGACAAAGACATTGATGGGAGACTCCAGGTAGGAATGGCGGCAAGATAATGAGCTCCAAACTACATCAACAATTATACTTCAAACCATTTTGAGTTATTCTCCCCGGTACTCGATAACATGTAATAATAGTTCAGCATGCAAAACCAATGGAGAACCCACACCTCAGCAGCAAAATGAAAAATAGAAAACTCTCTCATTCTTTACTTGAAAAGTATTTGAGTATAAGCGCCATTATTTCAGGAATAAAAATCCTAAACATTTCTAGGTATAAATATAAGTTTCCTTATTTTGAAGCCACACATGAAAAGCCTACTGCTAAGGTCATAGAAAATGCAGGGCAATTGAAAGACTTTTCTTTAAAATCAATGGAGCCTTCATCCAGTAACTGATGGAAGCAGATGCAGAGATCCACAGCAAAGCACCAGGCCAAGCTCCAGGAGTCCAGTGGAAGAGACAGAAGAGGGATTCTCTGAGCAAGAAGCATCAAGATCATGAACTTTAGACCAACAGCTGTGGAACCTGCATGGCACTGGACTAGGCCTACTGCATAAGTGAGACAGTTGTGTAGCTTGGTCTGTTTAAGGGGCCCCCTGGCAGTAGGATCAGGATCCATCCCTGGTGCATGAGCTGGCTTTTTGGAGCCCACTACTTATGGTAGGACACCTTGCACAGCCTTGATACAGGTGGAGGGGCTTGGACCTTCCTCGACTGAATGTACCAGTCTCTGCTGACTCCCCATGGGAGGCTTTACCTTGGAGGAGGAGGAATGAGGGGTGGTTGGGGGGAAATCCTGAGGGGGGAGAGAGGAGGGAAGAAAGGGAAATCTGTGGTTCATATGTAAAATAAATAATCATTTCTTAATAAAAAATAAATAAATAAAATGAAACACCAAAAACAAATCATGCATAAAACAAGGATACTTATTGTTGTCATTTCTATTAAACACAGAAGGGACAGGGGAAGCAGCAGCAATATAAGAAAACCTTAAAAATAAATAAATAAAAGGCATGCAAACAAGAATTGTTTTACAGGTAAAAGAAAAGCTAGTAAGTTCAGTACAGATGCAATATGTAATATCCAGTATAGAAAAGTCTCAAATAGCCAGGTGGTGGTGGTGTAAGTTTTTAATCCCAGCACTTTGGAAGCAGAGCTAGGTGGATCTCTGTGAGTTCGACGCCAGCCTGGTCTACAGAGTGAGATCCAAGACAGGCACCAAAACAACACAGGGAAACCCTGTCTCAAAAAACAAAAAAAGAGGGCTGGAGAGATGGCTCAGAGGTTAAGAGCACTGACTGCTCTTCCAGAGGTCCTGAGTTCAATTCCCAGCAACCACATGGTGGCTCACAACTATCTGTAACGAGATCTGGTGCCCTCTTCTGGCCTGTAGTCATACATGCTGTATACATAATAAATAAATAAATCTTTAAAAAAAAAAAAAAAAGGAAAAAAAGAAAAAAGAAAAGTCACACATGGTGAGAAACCCGAAGATGAAATTAAGAAGCTGGGCCTGGTGGTGCACGCCTCTATACCCAGTTTCTTGGAAGACTGATGCCAAAGGATGGCAAGTTCAAGGCTATTGTGGCTCTGTAGAAAAGCAGTGTTACATTTGAAACACAAGGAAAGGGATGCAGGAATGGCTCAGGTAAGAGCATCATCATCTGTTCTCACAGAGAACCCATGCTCTCCACTCCTAGCCCTCACATGGCTGCTTACAGCTACTTGCAACTCCAGTTCCAGTGCATCTGTCATGCCCTTCTGGCTTCTGTGGAACCTGCAAGTACATGGTGCAGAAATATACAAGCAGGAAGACAAAAGAACAATTATATTAATGAAACCATTAAAACCAAGAATAAATGAGTGATTAGGAAAATTGATTATTGCAAGATGAAGGATCTGCACAAAAAGACTATAAAAATATTGAAAGAAATTGAACTGGTACAATTATATATAATGATACCTGAGGTAATGAATTTAAACATTGTTAAAATGTCTATACTGGGGCTAAACAGTTGGTTCATTATTTAGGTCATGAATTGCTATGCACGAGCATACATCCACAAAATATTACTCTACCTACAGATCAGCTACTCATGCTTAATGATTTTCAAACCTTTCTGGGGGATATTCAGTGGCTTCGGTCCACTTTAAAAATTCCAAAGAGGATCTTTCTACTGGCACTTGGAGGGGACCCGATCCAGTGTTGGTGTGGGCCCGGGGATCTGTGTGTGTCTTTCTGCAGGACAATGAGGTTCCTCTTTGGGTTCCTGAGTGCTGCATGCGCCCTGTGGCTGCTACTGAATTCCAACATGACAGAGACCTATTGGGCCTTCATGAAGAACTCTCCCCTTCTGACACCAATGGGGATTGAGAGCCCAATATGGCCAGCCTTGGCAAACATTATTGTAAGCCTAGGAACTGTAGCCATGTGGTTGGATTCTTCAGAAGGTAATATATGGTAACTTTTTTCAAAAATGTTGAGAATGTGTCACACCTTGGAGAATAAGGATAACTCTGAAGGTCAATGACCTTCATTTGTTAACAGTAGCATGCCAGCTAAGCCTTTTCACATTTTGCAACCCTCTTCAAGCTGGTGTAGTACCTACTTTCCAGAAATGGCTCTGTGCAACATTTATTGGCCTCCTGAAATTCATCTAGCCTTTTTGAAGATATCTTAAAATTTGTGAGCCTGAATGTAGCCATTAATGAGACCATTAGTTCTGCTCCTTGTTTGCTTTTTTGTTTTTGTTTTCTTTATGGTTCTTAGTTGTTCTTTTGCAGACCTGCCAGCCTAAGTAGTGCTGGGATCAAGAATAATGGGCCTTGATGGTTCGTGTTCCTGGAGCTGCGTCCATGCCAGTGGACGGTGGCAGTTAGACACAGATGATGTTCACACGCTCCAGAAGAGGATCTGACATGGCTGTTGCCGTTGTTGCTGTTATAGCGGTGGTGGACACTGCTGCTACTATTTCTGGGATGGCTATTTTATAATTGGGATCTACAGCTAGCACAATGGAGACCCTGGCAGCAAAAGTAGCTACCACAGTTAGTTAATCTTTTATTTTATTGGGCATGATAAATTTTTTTTTTTTGGTTTTTCGAGACAGGGTTTCTCTGTGTAGCTTTGCGCCTTTCCTGGAACTCACTTGGTAGTCCAGGCTGGCCTCGAACTCACAGAGATCCGCCTGGCTCTGCCTCCTGAGTGCTGGGATTAAAGGCGTGCGCCACCACCGCTCGGCTGGGCATGATAAATTTAATTCTACATTTATACATTTAAATGGGCTTTGAAAGTTGTAAAAATTATTAAAACTCAAGTTCCATTTGCTTATGGGATACCACCTTACAAGGACTCCAATTTGCAGTAAAGCTCGTTTAAGAAGTGAATGGCTCAATTGCCTTTAGCCTCCTGGCTATGAGTAGGTTAGGACTTCTGTTGGTCTTTTCTGTGTTGCACAGATTGCAAGCCCAGCACCACTTTGAGATCTTTGGCAGCAGTTACTCTACAGCTCACGTGGTTGAGTCTGTATGATAATGAGTATTCAGAAACAGGTAATGCTTGGGAGGCGGTCATCAACCTAAGACAGAGCACTTGTGTGGCCTGGGCAGGTGTCTCTATGATGGGTAAGGTGACCTGCTGACGTCCCACACAACCTAAGTCAGAAGTTCATTTTTCAGTAAAAAAGGGGGACCTGTGGGCCCTGGCCCCCCACTGTGAGTGGCTGCCGCCTTGCTTGCTGACCTTGACCAGATGTCCTCCCTATTCAGATTCCCTGCCAGTTTCCTTCTCACCTAACTGATCAACCGAGGTTCTTTGTTCCTGTATCCTGCATTTGGTGTAAACAGCTTAGATGCAAGAATGTAGCAAACTTCTGCCCTCTGGGGATCCGCCATTGTGCTGTAAGCCTGTATTTAAGGTTTCCTCCCTCTTTCAATAAACGGCATTCGGCATTCAGCCATGGCGAATGACTCGCTGTCTCTTGTCCCTTATTTTTTAATTCGCAGCCCCTCGCTCGGACATGGTGAATGGGTATCGGTAATGCGGGTGTTGCCGCTACAAAGAACAGTGGCTGCAATTCCAGAGGACCTTGGTTCAGTTCTCAGCACCTACAAGGTGAGTCACAACTGTCTGTAAATCGATTTCCAGGGTATCTGACACCCTCTTCTGGCATCTATGAGCATCAGGCATTAAAGTGGTATACAGACCTATGTCCAGATAAGACACCAATACACATAAAATAACATTAAATCAAAATAAATAAATGATCAATAAATTGACATACTACTTAGGCTAGAGAAAGGGCTCAGTGGTTAAGAGAGCTTACGGCTTTTACAGAAGATTCTAATTCAGTTCCTGGGACCCACATGAAGCAGCTCACAGCTGCCTATAACTCCAGCTTCAGAGAATCCAGCAGCTCTGACCATTCCACCCATCCTTTCAGATGTGCATACACACAGGCAGACCCACAAACAAACAACTCAAACCAATGTAATTTTGTTTGCTTGTTTTTGAGTTTTTCTTTTTTCTTTTCAGACCAATAGTGTTTGGTTTTTACCCTAGATTTCAGGGCTACCCAGTCTCTGGTTCTCGGTCACCAGGGCAGTATCAGGCATGGGTTCCTTCCGGTGGAGTGGGCCTTAAGTCAAATCAGACACTGGCTGGCTACTGCCACAAGTTCTGTACCACCATTGCCCCAGCATCTTTTGCAGGCAGGACAGACTGTAGGTAAAGGCTTTGTGACCTGGTTGGTGTTTACATTGCATTTGGTAGCCTGTAGAGTACCTTCCTATACCAGAGCCTAGGATGTAGGGGTGAAGGCTCCATGTAGGCACCAGCTCAACTTCTTCATGTTCAATGAATTCTGTGGGTGTTGTCCTAGCAATGAGATTCCACGTTCAGTTTCTAGAGGGCAACCCTTTGTCTTAGCAACAGCCTGGGTTGTTTGGGGACTTCCATATGACATCCTTGATGAAGATCTCAACTGAATACACCCCAGTCCTACCAATGGAAGCCTTCTTTGGTGACAAGACATTGCCTGTTGAGACTCCATATCCCCCATTAGTAGGAGACCTCAGTAGATCGCCTTAATGTATTTTAGGCAGTCTCCATTGCACTAGGTTTCCATATCCTCCCTCAAATGCCCCTCAATTTCAGGCAAAGAAATCATTTTTTAAAGAGTCACCAAGGAAAGAGAACTAGGTTTGTTCAATTCAAACAATCTGGCTGCAGACAGCTTGTTTCTTTTGTGACTGGAGTTTGTGATGGCTAAGGAAAACTCCATTTTGTGCTAGACACCCATTCTAAATTCCTCAAAGACAAGCTCCTGGCAACTCTCACTCCTTGCTACACTTCCGGTAATTGTAAAAGTGCCATGAGATGATTAACTGTTTTCTCTGGCTTTTGTGAACCCACTTAGTGCTGTGTAGCAGGGAGAGAGCTCAACATAGCTGAGGGGAGTTCAGTTTCTCACTCAGCTACACATTCCACACAAATGGGATAGTTGTGCTGCCCACCTTAAAAACCCCTCCTCCAGCCTCTTCTGTGTAACAAGACCTCTTCCCAGGGTGGGGTGGAGGGTATATAAGGCTTGCCTCTTCCTGAATAAACTGAGCTTGTTGTTTCTACATTTTCCCAGAGTCTGTGTGGTTTGACTCTGCGTCTACTTGGCCCCGGCCCCCAAAGGGAACAACAGCAAGGACCCTGCCACAGCCCTTGATTTGTATCTAAGGCTGTTGTTGGCCTACTAGCAGTAATTAATAAATTCTTTTAATTATAATTTGAGTGTGTAGTCTTTTCCTCCTGGATGTGAACTCTGTAACAAGTTAACGTGTTTCTTTAAGTTTTATGAAACTTCAAAGTACAATGTCATATGAGAAACAGTCCTTTTACAAATAGGCCAGGCAAATAAATTGTCCCAGGCTTACACAGAGCAGCTTAAGGTATACTCCCTCCTTGTGGCAAATTAACAGTGGGAAACACAAATGTGTGCATTTTAATATCCCATAACGTATGGCGGTAAAGAGAGTCAATGCCTGAGTTCAGAAGAGAGGTGTCCACAACTGATTAAGAGCAGGAGAGAGCAAAGGGAAAGAGGATGGGCTCATGACAATCCTCAAAAGTCAACCTGGACACAGAAGGCCTGGCCTGTGTCCTCTGGCATCTACATTAGCTTGGGTGAAGCTGGGATTCCCAGCTCCCTGTCCTTTCATGGCTGCTGTGGATATCACTCTGTATAAATAAAATGCTGATTGGCCAGTACCCAGGCAGGAAGTGTAGGCAGGACAAGCAGAGAAGGGAATTCTAGGAAGTGGAAGGCTGAGGCAGAGAGGCCTGCCAGCTGCTGCCATGACAAGCGAGATGTAAGGTACCGGTAAGCCACGAGCCACGTGGCAACTTATAGATTAATAGAAATAAGATAAAAGAAGTAGATAACAAGAAGCCTGCCACAGCCATACAGTTTATAAGTAATATAAGCGTCTGAGTGATTATTTTATATGTGGGTTGTGGGACTGCGGGGGCTTGGTGGGACCTGGAGAGAAGCTCTCCGGCTATACGTGGCTCTCAAGATCTTCCTAACAGCAGACATCTTTCAGTCTTTCACACCATTAAAATCAATCTGGAGCTTATTCTAATTCTTGAAAGGGACACAAGTCCTTGGGCTGCAATGTTCACCTGTAATCCCAGTGTCTGGGGAGGGTGACACAGGCCAGTTACATGAGGTTACCCTGGGCTATATAAGGGTATCCTGTCCAAAAAGAAACAGAAAAGCTGTCACTTCCAGAAAGTGTGCTCTCCCAGTGTTCTCACACTTTCTCTCCTCCTTCCCCTGTCACCTCCTTCTCTGTCTCTTTTTTTGGGATTGAATCCTGAGCCTAGTGCCCCAGCCCCCACCACTAACTTCATCCTAATAAACTGCACCTTCTTGATGTTTTTCTTTTCTTCTCTAGATAAGGTCTTTTTAGGTCCCCCAGCCAGTCTTAGACTTAGGATCTTCCTGCATCAGCTTTCTTTGTAGCTGGAATTACTGGTACAAAGTCTGGACTGAATTCCATCTAGGCATGGCAGACATGGACCAAGGGAAAGGCAGGCAAATGTAATGACTTCTGAGTAACATTAGCAATTCTGTACAGACCTGAGGCTGTTTCATAGGACAAGTAAATGTTTAAGAGGCTGCAGCAAGATTGGGACTTGCAATCACAGAGACAGTAGCAAAGGGAAGGAACCCATAGAATCATGGGTAATTCACCATTACACAGAGAGACCTTAAACTCTGTTTTCAAACACCATTCTGGCTTTACTCCTTCAGCGGAGGCGGGGTGAGGGGACATGGATGGACAGCAGCGTCTGTCTTGTAACAACAGATTCTTGGTACAGCCCAAATTAAACATGAGGAAAGAAGAGAGTGAACTCCACCTGGAGAAATACCTGGACCTGTCTGGCTCTTGAAACCTGTCTTTCTTTTTTTTTTTTTTTTTTTTTTTGGTTTTTCGAGACAGGGTTTCTCTGTGTAGCTTTGCGCCTTTCCTGGAACTCACTTGGTAGTCCAGGCTGGCCTCGAACTCACAGAGATCCGCCTGGCTCTGCCTCCCGAGTGCTGGGATTAAAGGCGTGCGCCACCACCGCCCGGCGAAACCTGTCTTTCTAAAGCCTCTCCTCCATCAGCCTCCTCAACCCCCTAGCACTCAGCAGGAAGCCAGCAGGCCCTCTTTCCCCGCCCCTTCTCAGTTTCAAATTAAACTTACCAAAACGAAGGGTGTTTTCTTTTCAATTCCTCCAAACTCTGCCCTCTAAATTGCTCTCAACACCTTCAGACACCAACCAAGAGATCCTGAATCTGTGGATGGGAGCGAATGGAGACCAGAATAAACGTCCTGAGGATTCAGTCTCTAAGTCTGACCTCTGGTGAATCAGGAGAGAAATGAAAGTTAAGACTTGAGGGCTGGAACTGAGAAAGAGAAACTACAGAGCTACCAACCAATGGGGTGCCACCACATCGGTGTATGCGGTTCAACCACCAGAGGGCGTCAGTCGCCTTGAGTCAGCGCTGCCTTTCTGGAGCTTGGGACATATTTGAGTGCTATAGGAACTTATGACACTTGTTCAGGCTCATGTCACAATCACCCCTAAGATCCCGATCCCCGGAAAAGCTGGCCCTGCTGAAAGAAAGCCTTCCCCATGGGCTCCTCTTGCACCCGAATTCGTGGCTGGGTTTTGCTTTAGTTGGCAGGTGTGATCCAAAGGAAGGAAATCAAAGGTGAGGGACAGAGCTGAAATGTTCCTCTGGAGTTGGACTTGGGCACTAACAGGATGAGAACAGGAAGGAAGCTGCAGTTCAGGACAGCTGCTGCACACTCAAGATTTCCCACTCTGCAGGGACAGCATGGGGAGGATTCCTGTGCAGAGCCATGCAGAAACACTTCCCCACACTCACAGCAGGTAAACTGGCAAGCTGCAGAGGACTCTCCAGCTGCCCAGTGCAGTCCTACAGATTATATATTCTGTTGCTGAACAGACCCAGTCCTCTTCCCAGTGCTCATATGATCCATCTTTGATCGGTCCCACAGCTCCTGCTGGCAGTCTATATAAAGAGCATGGATTAAGGAACCTTGTCCTCTCTTTGCATGCTTTTTCTTCCTCTCACTGCCATGTCCATTCCTTCACGGGCATTACAGCCTATTTCTTCAGAATTCTGACATACATTCAAGCAAAAGTATATATCCCTAGTAGCCCATGTATTCATTAGGGCTCCTCACACCTATAAGATTAATTAGCTCTAAATATATTAGGAAAAAAGATGAAAAGAATTATTTTATTTTTAAATCTTTTTTTCTCATTTCTTTTTCTTTTATTGTATGTGCATGGGTGTTTTAACTTTGTAGGTTATAAGAGGATATGCAATTCTTTGGATTGGCATTGCAGCTGGCTGTGAGAATTATTAAAAATGAAAGTAAAAAGGTAGTGGAGAGCTGTGATCTGCCATGTCAGCTGATGGAATTTTGTCAAGCAGCAGTGGTCACCATGTGGTCCGTGCCACTTTGCCCAGCAGTTCTGAGCTCCTGGGAAATGGACACTTGATCAGCTACTCTCACTTTCTCCACAGCTTAGCCCTGGGCTTTCAGGGGTTCCTCATTAATCCACTACTAATGTGCTAGTCTGCTGGTGCTATGATAAAAAAACTAGTAACAAAATACTACAAACCAGGGGTTTTTGTTTTGTTTGGTACTGGATACTATAGAGAGAGGCAGAACTGGAGACATGAGGATGTTGAGGAACAGCCTATTGTGAGTAGCCTGCACTACCACCTGAGGTCATGGTGGTGTCCAGGCCTGTGCTGACACCGAGGGCCATGTCAGGGTCCATGGCTGTGCAGCAGCAGGGGTCTGGGATGATGTCGGTGGCCCATGTCACCACCAAAGGCCATGTGAGCACCCTGGTCTAGGCTGCTTCCTGGGGCCATGTTAATGTCTGAGGGCTGCACAGAACTGACTCTGACCTGCCTCTCACCAGCTGGAGAGTCAGCCTCCCCTGGGAAGCACAGTAGAGCTGGCCCCGGTGGTCTGCCTGTAGGAGAGCTGGCCCCACACCTGGACTTGGGAAAGCAGGCTCTGTACCTTGTGGGCAGTGCAGTAGAGGCTGGCCCTGGTGGTGTGGGCACCGGAGAGCAGTCCCTCCCCTCAGCACGTTAAGTCATGACACAGACCCATGTCTACTAGGTCTTGTGGGCCGCAAGAATATATTAAGAGATTCAGCTGTGTATTACAGCTATACTTTTACCCAGCCAAGGGTCTGTCAAAAGGCAAGCCATTTATTATGAATATTTGGTGCTATACAGTTTTAAATATTTCAGCTGTTATCTGCTATGAAATTCTTGTGTGCCCAAATACTTCCAAACCATTTTGGCAAACAGCTAAGCTTCTCAGACGCTGTTCCACTAGGTACTACCTTTCCTGCTGAGCCTAGGAGACTAACAGGCTACCAGATGTATAGCTTTGTTTATTGTGCAAATCAAGTTCAGATCTTCCACAGTCCCAGAGCAACTTCTGAGGGATTTCCTCTCCCCTGGTGCTTCCAGCTGTGATGCAGATTGACTAGCTGTCAGTACTCCTCCCCCACCCTGTCCGGAAACTGGTTGTAGAGAAAAAGAGTGGCAGCTTTACTTTTAGTGACTTATAGATATCTTTACCCTATCACCTGTGAGTTTATAGTTTGAGCACATTTGTGATAGACTCGTAATATTTTCACCTAACCACAGTAAGGATAGATTCCTAGCACATAAACTCCTTCTCTGATTTATTCCAGCTCCTATCTAACTCCATCTTTATTCTCTTCCCCTTTTGGGGTTGCAAATGAAGTTGCCAGGAAGCTTCTCCTGGGGACCTTGCAATTCTTACGTTGTATTGTAAACATGAAGGTGTTGCTGGAGTGAGGGGAATACTCATTCATTGTTGGTGAGAGTGCCATTATGGAAATCAGTGTGGAGCTTCCTTAGGAAGATGTGAATTGTTCTGTCTGAAGATCCAGCTATACTACTCTTGAGCATATACCCAAAGGATATTTCATTCTATCAAAGAGACATTTACTCAACCATGTTCCTTGCTGCCCTATTCACAACAGCCAGAAATTGGAATCAACCTAGATACCCCTCAGTGGATGAATGGATAAAGAAAGGATGGTACAATTACACAAGGGAATGCTACTCAACCTTTAAAAGGAATGAAATCATGAAATTCACAGGTAAATTGATGGAACTAAAAAAAAAAAAAAATCCCAAGTGAGGTAACCCAGACCCAGAAAGACAAATATGGTATATATTCACTTTTATGCAGATGGTAGCTGTGAAGTCAATGATAACGAAGTTACAATCTATAGAACCAAAGAGATTATATACAAATAAGGGACTAGGTAGAAGGAATGATTTCCCTAGGAAAGGGAACTAGAATAGATAGTTATGGTTGAACAAGAGGCAAGGAATGGGAGGATAAAACAGGGGAAAGGAGGAAAGAGGGAGATGAGGAAGGGAAGATGTTGAGGAACAACAAAAATTGAGCACCATTTTAGGGGTCACTTGGAAACCTAACACAGTAGAAGCTTCCTAAGTATGTACATATCTGAAGGTGATCTAAATGCAATTGACCAATAATAGGGGAGAGAGAGCCCCATCTAGACATCTCTTTTACCAAATGAAGATCCCAGTACTGGGAATGGATTACATCTAATTGAGTTATGGGACAAAGAGGTCCCATGAGAAACTCCAAGGAACCCAGGCTGTTGCCAAAACCATAGGTTTCTCTCCACAAACTAACAGCAAGGCCACATTGCTGTAGACAACAGCTACAATATTCATGGAACATGGAGAAGTTGAGCTGGTGTCTACACAGAGCCTTCACCCCTATGTGCTAGTGTTCTTGGTACCAGAATTTACTTTGCATGCTACCAGAGGACAAAGGTAAACACCAACCCAGATACAAAGCCTTGAATCTACAGTGTTGTCCCTCCTGCAAGATACACCAGTGCAATGGTGGCACAAGGCTTGTGGGAGGAGCCAACAATTGGAATAGGACAGAGAAAACAAGCAGAAGGAAAAGAACTAAAGAAAAAGAACAAGAAACACATACAGACACAGAAACGTACACATTCAAACCAAGGGAATGCCATAAAGACACAAAACTGGAAACTATACCATAGACACAAAGGACCTGTAAGTTTGAAAAAAATAAATTCCATGACACAACATTATGAGATAAAGAATCCCCAAAGATGCCCTTGAGTTCATTTTCTGTTGGCCTCCTACTGCCAGGCATAGACCACGCCCTAAAGTAGTAGTTTCTTTTGGGTTGGGGATTTAGCTCAGTGGTAGAGTGTTTGCCTAGCAAGCACAAAGCCCTGGGTTCAATCTTCAGCTCCAAAAAAAGAAAAAAAAAAGGTAGTTTTGACAGTGAGACTCCCTTGGAGAAAAGTATTTTTTTATTTGCAAATGGTTATTAATTGAAGATAGATTCTGGGTTGTGGATGGGCTGGCTGTATGTCCACTTCTTTCATTCTAAGACTCCATCCGGTGAAGACCTATGCTGGCTTGTTAATATACATAAAATTACATTAAAACAAAATAAATAAATGAATCAGTAAAATGCCCATACTATCTAGGGCTGGAGAAAGGGCTCAGTGGTTAAGAATGTTTATTGTGCTTTCAGTGTCTTTTTTTTGTTTGTTTGTTTTTTGTTTTGTTCTGTTTGTTTCTTGTTTTTGTTTGTTTTTTGAGACAGGGTTTCTCTGTGTAGCTTTGCGCCTTTCCTGGAACTCACTAGGTAGCCCAGGCTGGCCTCGAACTCACAGAGATCCGCCTGGCTCTGCCTCCCGAGTGCTGGGATTAAAGGCGTGCGCCACCACCGCCTGGCTGCTTTCAGTGTCTTAGTTAGGGTGTCTATTGCTGTGATTCAACAACGTGACCAAAGCCATTTAGGGAGGAAAGTGTAACACAAATCTTAAAAGGTCTTATAATAAAACACCCAGAGCCAGATATTGGGGTGAAAGCTAAAAAATCAGAGAAGAACAGCCAGCCACTAGCTTACCTCTACGAAATCCTCAGCCTCAAGAGAGCCAGTTCCTGTTTCCTCAGGCCTTATATACCTTTCTATGTCCTGCCATATTACTTCCTGGGATTAAAGGCATGTGTCACCACTGCCTGGTTCTGTTTCTCTCATGTAGCCCAGTGTGGCCTTGAACTCAGGAGTTCTGAACTCACAAGTGATAAGATTAAAGGTGTGTGCCACCACTACCTGACCTCTATGTCTAATTTGATGGCTGGCTCTGTCCTCTGATCCCCAGGTAAGCTTTATTGGGGTACACAATATATCACCACAGGAAAGTGTCTACTTGGCTTATGCTTCCATATTCCTGTTCATCATGGAAGGAATTCTATTGTAGTCTTA